AAAAAGTAATCTATTACTTACATTACTTACATTATTCCTTAGTGTTCATAAAAGTGTTGCATTATGCTAATTACTGAAAGTAATTCATAATTACTATACTGAAAATATGTTCTGTTTCCTGGCGCTTGCTTGTCCTCCTGTTTCCGCGATCCTGCGTGAAACAACAAATGCAGCCGTAAGAAACCTCACACAAGCTGCAGACCACACACTTCACAATGGCTTTGTGTACTGATTGAACCGACGGTTTGTCACGGAACGATGGGCGCTCAGCCACTCTCCTAATTAGCTCCCCCAGACGAGGCTGATCAGCAGCATGCGTGTGTCATCATCCATCACCCTCCCTAGCGAGGGTAGCGGGACACCCTCACTAGGCCTGACGGTGCCTGTAAACCAGCCTACAAGATACCCCCCGCCCCGATTCCTTTGTTAGCATTTTAGCATTTTCACTTTTAATCCTTTTTCTCTCTGCTTGTGTTTGTAAATGTTTTCCTTTTATCCTCTGGCCCTTTTACACTTTACTTCCTGTTTTACTTTGAAGATTTCTGTTCCTTTCCTGTGCTTTCCTGTTTGATGTGCTTTGTGTTTAGCATCTTTGGATGATGGGCTTCCTCTCCAGTTTAATTCATGTTGCATGAATGAAAATGAATTCAACATTTGTAATCATCATTCTGTCTGCTCTGACGTCTGTAAGCAGGTCTGACCGTGATTATTACCTCAAACATGACACACGGTGTCTCTCTATATGTCCTCACAGTTTCCCAGCATGCCTCTGGTGTGGAGCTGTATGAGGGGGACTCGTTCATGCTGCCCTGTCAGGTTGACACTTTTGGTTTGTTTGACCCCACAGTGGTGTGGAGTCGCTCCGACCTCAGTCCTCCAACCGTCCACCAGCGTCAGCTTCAAGGAGACGAACTGAAAGATCAAAACCAGCGTTACAGCGGCCGAACATCCATGAAGACTGACGCTCTGGAAACTGGAGAGCTCAGCCTGAACCTGACCAACCTCCAACTGTCTGACAGCGCCACCTACACCTGCTCCGTCAGAGACTTTGGAAATGAACTGAGTCGGAGTGATGTACAGCTGCAGGTCAAAGGTCAGCAAGAAGCTTCAGTGACTGCTGTTGATAAAGATTACATCACTGAAGGTAGTCTTTACTTTACAATCAAAGGACTTTGTTGGCTCAATACAGCTTAGATTACATGGACTCAGAGGTCAAAGGTCACACTGTTTGCTGTCTGTCTTTACAGAGCAGTGGTCATACTGGGAGCCTCTCGTGTTTCTCCTGGTTCTGGTCCTTATAGTTTCCGGGGTTCTTTTATTTCATTTCTGTCACTATTTCATGTCAGGTGAGTGTCTCCTCCTACACTACCCATAATGCCGATGGTTAGCAGGTGTCCTCTGGTGGCTCCTTGACTGTGACTCACACAAATTTGTTCCAGAAGTTGAAAGAGTTGTGAGTTATGAAGTGAACAGGCAAATATCCCTGAGCTTTCTCCTGAGTGTCAGAATCCGATTTCCTCATTCCGACTACGAAGCGTCAGATTCAGGGTTTGACCTACGATAAGAGCGCTGCTGAAAGAGGCGTGGTCCAGATCTGCTTCTAAACAAACTCCAGATATAAAAAAACTTCCTTGATGGTGTGTAAGTGTGATCAGCTACCACATCTATGCTGTAAGTCTGAGGTAGCCAACAGCATAGATGTGCACAGTCAGTACCAGCTGGAAACTAAGCGTGACATTCATGTAAATCCTCTTTGTGGCGCTGAAGTTGGTCACATGGTTTGTAGTTCACTTGGAACAAACCAACCCATGAAAACACGTTTACAAAGCTGTCAGCTGATCCAGAGCAGAGTGACGCAGCTACAGGTGTCCCAC